TCTCGGGGCGGCGGGGTGACGAAAGGCCATCCTGCAGCTCAGCCATCCAGTGGTTATGCAGAGATGGGTTTAGGAGAGCGCTGCTCTGCTGCTGTGACCATCCCGAGTAGGACTTGGGGACTCTGGGCTCCCTTCAGTCCCACTGCTGCATTGATTTTAATAGCAACAACCTAGAGGGGAGCAGAACAGACTGTGCTTCATAGACGGACTTGATTTGCGCTAAAGTTTTTAAACAAGTTGGCTGTCTTCCTGGACTCTTAAATTAAAGGGCAATTAAGTCACTTTCAGTCTGGAAATAGCTGATGGGTGTTCCCTGGTTTGACTCTTTTACATTTTGCAAGAGTGATTGATGCAAAGAAAAATTGCCACTCTTAAGTCAGGGCTGTCAGCCAACTCCCAAAGCATTTATCTAAGCACCTGCTCAGGCTCTTCCGGCCTGCAGACCGGAGGAAATAGGACAAAATGAGGGTGTGAGAAAGAGCAGCTGGGCATAAAGGACACTGCATAACAATACTCATGCCTTAGTACCGGCAGCTATTGTAGGAGGAGGACAAAGAGAGTGCTGGTGCTATGTCTTCTTGGATAAGTGATTTCTTTTTGTTCTCCACCTGGGCCAAAAATCGTGGTGGAGAAGCCTGACTAAATCTTAGCCCCAACTCACAGCTACTTGTCAGCTGTTGACTTTTAGTTATTCATGTGCAAATTAGTATTTCTGCAGCATGTGCACTGCTCCTAGCACGAAGCAAGCACACACGAGCAGTTCACTGGCGCCAATGCAGCGCTACTGCAGCAGCAGTACAGCTCTGCGTGCCGGCGTTTCACCATTTCCTGGCAATGCTGCTGGTAAAGGTACGTACTCAAGGCTTTCCCACTTACTAGAAATGCCTGTACCGTCTCCCTCCTTTTGAATTCCACGTTTGTTCCTAGCATTTAAAAGCTCAGATCTTATTTTGCTTCTTCCGGGACTGCAAACCAAAGCTGACTCCTGAATGAATTCTGTCTCTGCTTTGGTTAGTCATCCCTGCAGGACAGATTTAGCAACTGCTCAGGGAAACCACGGAGAAGGCAGCAGTTCACCATTGGAAGGCAGCACCCACTCGCTGTCAACTTCGTGTTCCTCCGAGGTAAAAAAACTGAAAGTGCAGCAAGTCAGCCAGAATTAGTAGAGACACTCTAGCCTCACCTGTCGTGCGTAGGAAGGTGGATAAACCGGTATGTACCTAATCCCAAAATTGATTGCAGGCTCACAAAGTTCCTGCAGCGTGAAGTTACAGAGCAGGGATAGCAAGTATCTACAGCAAAGTTCACTGTCCCCACCTGCCAGAGCACCCCTTGGAGCAAACGAGCCTCCTGCACTACTGTCGCTCCTAGGAAGAGCTGCCAGCACTTGTCGTTGTGGGGGAAATATCCTTCCACCCCACGTGTCTGAATTGCCACAGAACTGGCAACACGTAGACCCGTCCCTGAACTGAAACAGATAAACTACCCACCTCTCCTTGAGGTGTAGAATTAGTCATGCTTTAAGGCTAAAGAATTTCCTGTTGAAAAATATTTTGACACTTTTCTTCCCATTTTTACTGCTTGTGTTTGTTAACGCTTGTATGTTCTTCCAGAGTCTTGCATAACGCTAGTTGACTATAAGCTCCCCATGTTAAAAGTTGTCCTGATAAGCAATAACATGCCACAATATTTTCACACCTAAATATTAGTCATGACACTGACGCTTTCAGTAAGGACAGTTTATTTGCCCTTTTGAACAAATAAGGCAAGATATTTGAGAAAGGTCAAACAATCTCCTGTATCAAACTCAGAGGAATGCAATAAAAGTTACTATTTCATACATATACAAACTAATGACCCAACACTATTATATACAAACAGCTAGATCTTACAAAAGAGCATTTCAAGTCAGCACTTTATGCCAGTGTTGCTAATTTCTTTGTTACAAAAAAGTTAAAGCTACAAACTTCACATTATTAAGTCTCACATGACTGACATCATCAGTATCTCTGGGTTACAGAAGCAAAGACAATGGTTTGTCCAGAACGCTTTCAGCAATGCAGACGGACTCAAGGAGCACACGAATGCAGCTTCATAATTAAACAACTGTTTTGCTTAAAAACTTAGTCCAAAGAGCCTTGGTCTTAGTCCAGAGGACTCTGAGGAGTGAGCAGGTACTACACTCTCAGATATTCTACAGAGGGACCAAAAAGGAAATAATTTTCTCTAACTGAGATTGAAAGTCAGTGAAGGAGAAAAAAAAAATTCCTCTGCATCAGAGCTCCAAGTGCAACAAATCTCGACAAGTCTCAACTACTGCAAGCATTTAAGAAAGGTTCCAAGACAATTCAGCCATTGGACTAGGTGTACTTATTTTGGTTCATTTGCTATATTTTAAGACAATCACTTCAGCAAAGCGGAGCATTTCAACAGTGTTTACATTCAGTTACAGCAGTCACAGGTTGCATATTCCAGAACACCACCCTGTGATGTTTCACTTAAAACTTGGGTTTTCTAATGCCCTCTGATCACTACAAAGTTACCTACACAGTGCAAAGGTAAAACTACTCCTGGCAGAATCTGCTTGATCCACATTACGTGCAAGTAGTGCACAGTTTGCCATGTCACATATGCGTATATCTAACACACTAGGGGTACAAAAACACGTGCCCTCTAAAGGCTGAGATTCACTCCTGCCAGTCACCGCAGGTCTTGCCATCAAACAGTGGGCGAGCTGCTCTCCAAGGTGCAGAAAGCCAGAGCAGGACCCAGCTCGCCTCCAGCCAAAGCCAGGTTGGGTGAGATCCAGCCAAGTGCCTAATTCATGATCCAGAAGTTGAACAGAAAACTCCCTAAGTTCTGCAAGTTTCCTTGATGCAAAGGGCTCTCACAAACATTGCTCATTATAAACAAACGTTTAGGGCCAAACATATTGCACAGATTCCAAACAAGTACTGTATGTGCCCTGTTGCTCATACAGGACTTCATTAGACTTCACAGCACATTTAGCTGCTGCACTTTCATAGCTAAGGCATTTTAGTCTATTAACAACAATTAAGGTTTTAATTACTTGGCTTGCATTGTGAAAGCAAGTGCCTTCTAAAACCTTCCAAATTCTTGAGGCTATCAATAGCTGATTATCCCAGGATGTATTCTTACCTCAGTACCCTAGATACACTGCTTGCTGCCTCCCTTTTCTTTTAGCGACAGCTGGTCTGCTGATCTACAAAACAGCTGTGTTAGCACTGCATATCAGAGACAAGCTCATGCAATCAGATCCTCAGAGGGGGTAAAAATGGCTTGGTTCCTTTCACATCAGTGGAGTATACCTGTTAATAATAGTCAAGAGCCTACAGAGGCGTGAAATGAACCCTTCTCCTCTCTAGCACCGTTTGATTCAGGAGACACTGCTATTTAGTTTAATTCTCTGGCTGACGTCCCAAGGCCTATTTCAGAAGAATGACATGGAAACTGTTCCCTCTATCAGAGCGAAATGAAAATAAAGCGGTAGCAGTATTTGCTCTCTCCAAACATTTCACCATGCGTTAGATATATCTAAAATTCCAACTCGACATTGTGTAATGCTGCTGTTGCAGCCCACAGAGCTGAGCCATGACTTGGTCGCTCTGCCCTGGAACTCAGCTCCCTTCTTTGCTTCTACTGTTTTGCTCTCCCCTCTGCCCATGTGAGCTAACTGCACCATCCTCACGCCAGTTGTACACTCTTGGGCATTTTCATTGTTTCAGCTCTATGGGGCAGAAATGGCAGGGAGAGAAGGAACACACGGAGCATCCAGAGCAACTGGAAGAGGCTGAATTTCACTATGCTAGCAGGTGAGGATGGGATGGCAGCCGACTTCTCCTCCAGATCAACTACACGTTCACTCCACCCCATAGCACACACCTTTGTTGACTTAAGAAAGGTTTCTTTTCAGTTTAACTTTTCTGATGCGCTAAACCTTGTCAAAATGTGAAGGATTGCGAAATTAAGTTTTTATTCAAACACCTAATGATGTAAATTTGAAATGATGAAGCCTATGAACTATTTCATTAACTGGATATTTTTTTTTTTTTTTTAGTCCTCTCGCGCACAGAGCAGAAGTACCTAATTCCTGAGAGAGGGTCACAGAACTTCCACCCCTTGTAATACTGTCATACTTCTTCCAGTACTCCACTGTCAGCAGGGTCTCACTGAAGGACATTTCCAAAGAGACAGATGGCAAGGAATCTGCTTTGTACTAGGTCAGATCACTGATTGGCTTTTGGTTTTAAGTAAACGTGAATTTTAAATTACAGACTATAATTTCTGATGGAGGCACAACATACTTTATCTGCTAGTATTAATTTATATAGTACACAAAAAAAGGACAAAACTGAGGTCTTGAAGAAATCACACTTGCTTAAAGTACATGGTGTAAGGCATGAGGCTTATTACAGGCTTCAACAAAAAACAAAAGATTTAAGTTTCTTTCAAAAGGCTGGAGCACTTTGTCCATGTTCTCACCTACTCTCTTCAGTGACCTAAAACTTATCAGTACCTTAACAGTAGAAAGATACAGTTTAACAGCTTGAAATTGAGTCTGTGCATTCTCAAAAAAAACCCAAAAAAACAAAACCAAAAAACACAAGAGATGAAGCCGTTAAATATCACAATTCACATTAACTTAAAACAAAGAAAATGGACTACTGAAAGTTCTGTTGAAAAGAATGAGCCAGCTTTCATTAGTCCATTCCTAGCTGTTCCTCTGTTTTAAAAACAACCCACCTAAAAACAGTAACAAAACTCCTTCAAAATAACATTTTAAATATTTGTCTAACATAAAATATATCATCAGGATTTTCCACTCAATGGCATTCCT